ATATCTTGGGAAAGGGAGGGGAAACGGTAACTTACAATCACAATCAATGAAGCGATTTGAAAGAGCACGTATACAACAATGTGTGGAGCACAGGTCTGAAAGGCTTTGATACGGAGGCTGGTGTCTGTTCTTCCTTGTTTTATGGCAACACTTAGGATTCTGATGTAGGAAAAAGCGATGAGAATAAAGGTCACTGTACTTAAAGACCAGGTCATGGCTAAACCTGAAAGACACAGAAAATGTTAATCAGGGGTCAAATATGATGAATGATAATTACGATGTATTGTTCCTCATATAAATAAGACATGTACTGACCGTAGATGTCACTGATGGGAGTGGGAATGCAGGCCAGGTTTAAGATATCCCGGTTGCTACAATACAGTTGATTGATCGTTCTGCCACACAGCGGGACGTTCATGTGGAAGGAGAAGAGCACAGAAATAAGCAACAGGGCAACAATCCAGGCCAGAGTGCAGCAGCAGTGCAGTCGAGCTGATGTCATGATGGAGAGATACCTCAGAGGCTCACACACTGCAATATACCTGCAGAGAGAAAGAAACAAAGTTCTTAATGCCATACTCTATTTAAAGTTTCATTCTTCCCTTATTAGTTATCAGTTCTTCTTAACACACTGTGTTTTACTCCTCGCATAGGTTTCCTTAAAGTTTAGGTTAGAAATCTATACATTCTCCAATGTACATCCCTGCCTTTAAGCTAAAAATGAACCATATTGCACTCAGAAGATTAAATGTTGCTCTAGAAATACATAATTAGACTCTGCTTTCAGTACACAAACATGGCCTGACTGTAAGAATTAAACACATAAACTGTCAGTGATAATTCAACCTTGATTCTCTTACAAAAAGGGTACATTTTTGGACTGTAAGAAAAAGTCATGAGTACTAAAGATTCCACGCTAAAAACCCACAGACACCTCCAAAAGCATGTTTGCTAAACACTTTCACACCTTCCTTACCTGTCATAGGCCATCACACTTAAAATAGTCAACATTGCTGCACCGTATGTGTGAGCACAGAAGGCCTGAGCGATGGCTGAGATGTAGGCAATCTTCTTCATCCCCATCAACAAGTCCATCATGAGACGAGGAAGCACCATTGTGGCCCCCAGTAGATCACAGACCACCAGGTGACAGATCATGACAAACATGGGTCTGTGTAGGTTCCTGTCTGTCATAATAACACAGATCACCACACCGTTCCCCAGCAGCACCACTATGTAGGCAAGCAAAGCCAGCAGAAACAAGAAGGTTCCAGTGCCTGGCTGTACATTAATGCCCTCAAGCTCAAAAACAATCGGCTGTTTGAGAGGAGTTGTTTGGTTCTCCATCCAAAGCAGGACAGCTCTGTAAATCAGAACAGTTTCCTCAGTTGTAAATTCTATAAATTCTAGCATCTTAAAATTAAATTGTGCAGAACATTTGACATTTGATTTTATCTTTTAATACAAAATACATGCCAATGATATACCTCCAAATCATGCAGAAAATTCTCAAGTAGTGACAGCATCAAAAAATAAAAACATCTAATCAGAAGCATTACCAACAGAGATTGTATAATAACATCTAACAACCACTACTCTACATGTGAGCATGAAGTCAGTCTCCTGTCTGATGGAAGCGCTGAAATTGCTCTGAGCTGGTGATTGAAACTTGCCTCCCTTTAAAGCAGATCTGTTTGTCACCTTCCCAAACATAGAAGTTACCATGGAAACACCAACTCCAGCTAAAGTCCCTGTAAGGAGAATCAGTGGAGGTTTGTAGAGGTGGATACTAAAGCAAAACACAGGAAACCCTCAATAGCAGCTGAAGAGTCTTCTAAAGAACTCTAATAGGAACAAAATTCAACCAATTTAAAAAGTTAGTTAAACAAATGATAGTAGTACAGAGACAAAAGTGTTAGAAAAAAGAAACACTTAGTATTATGGATTCTATTTTTTTCTTTTACTACATCTTCAAAGATTGCCAGAGACTTGTAATCTATTGTTCTGACAACATCAATTGTTCTAGCCATGCCTCTGTAGGGCGTAGTTAATGGATGTCCGATAATGCTAACAAAGCTGATTTTACATAATTAAATGACATAAGGTTTTCATCTTGTTTTTTTCCAAATGGTGGTTTTTTAACAAAGGGTATTGCACTCTAAGTTGTTTGTGGAATGATGAGTGACTGGTTCACAAGACTGAGTAATATTTCCTCTTCATGTAGGGAAAATACGCCTGATTTGGTGTCATTTGGGTCTAAGTCCTTAATTTACTTTCTAAAGTCAGTTCTACCTACACTTGATAGGGTTAAATAATAATAACCCCATATTTTCCTAAAAATGAGACCAACACAACACACAAGTTACTTTTCTGCAGGAAAGGAGAGAAGATACAGACAGAGAATTCTCACTCCCTGAAATGTCTGTGGTCAACTCTGCCAGAACCTCTCTTTTCTGCTGCTTTAATTATCGGACTTCAAAGGAATAACAGAAGGGGTCAGAAGTTGTCAGGAGGGGTCAGAGGTTTACACATGATAGAGCATGACAGTTCCTTGTGCAGTTTTATGGCAGGTGATGACCAGCTGCAACCACACCTGGCATTTGTTCAACAGAACAATCCTAGCTGGCCAAATGCCTGTAACTTAAAATAAAATGATAACATATACATTTTTCTAACAACACTTGGTCCTATGATGCTCTACAGGTGTTTGAATTTTGATATTCTTTTTTGTTCACATGTTCATTGTCTCCTTTATTGTCATTTATATTCACATTATTTTCGCCTCATTAGTTTCTTATTCCTGTGTTGTGTTCATTTGTGTTATAAGATTTATTTCTCTTTGTCAAGACTCAGAACAGAGGACCCAGAATTGAAGCAAATAGACAGATTTGATTCTCAAAAGGGCTTATTTAAAAATGTTGGATCTGAAACTCAGCAGCTAGGGCGTCAAAGACCAGAACCTCTGTAGTGGGAAAACTAGGCTTAGTGACCAAATAAATCTGATGGAGAATGATTACAAGCGTGTGAGTCACTAACCTGGTTTTAGAGTTTAGTCAATGCACAAAAGAAGGAGTGGAATCCTGCCCGATGGCTACCAACTGCACACGGCAAATGCCGCCCAGTGTTCCAAGAACCAAAGCCTTGAAACCAAAAGACAAAGCCAAAGCCAGTGTCGAAGAGGTCCACGGGAGTTCAGGCCAGATGATCAGAGATACAAAGAGGTACTCAGGGGAAATCCAGGTCAAAGTCACACAGGCACAAACCAGCAGGAGTCCTAAGACATGTCAAGCAAACAGAACAACAAACAGGTATGCTAGAAAACTCACCGAAGGCTTGAATAATCTGGCACTGATGAGTAGGAGCAAACAGTTTAAATAGATACTAGAGCAGGTAAGACAGATGAACAGTGACGAGAAACTGAGCAGAGCTAGATTGGTGAGTGGAATGAACTATTAAGCCAGTCATCAATGCCAAGATCAAGACAATCTCAGGTTAGTTTTGATTAGTTTGTTAAGGAACCTCTGTGAGATGTAGTTTCAGCTTCCTTTGTGTTAATAAAGTACCATTGTAGCTATCTCCAGTCAGGAATTAAGGTGAAGCGTACTAATGTTTCATTAAGTTCCTTTAATCACATTCCGTTTTACAAATCCCTTAACCTGATTCCCTTTCTACACATAACAGCGTAAGAGCTACAGAAAAAAATAAGATTTAAGCCAGTCATCATTTGTATCTTAAATACTAATTAGCATCAGGTACAATGCTACATCCAAAGACGGATGTAATTTGGTTTTTGCACAAAAATAATACCTTGTTCTGTTTTAGGCTCTGTCCATAAGATTGGGAGTCCCATAAGATTAGGACTCCCTGAGTCTCAATCCAATCAACAATCGCCTGCACACTATTTAAGGCCTGTCGGCTGCACTTCTGGATCATTTATGGTATTTTGTAGAATTTAATGGGCTGGTAATTTGCTGCTTCGTAAGCCTGTTCAGACTTTTATTTTTTATTTTTTTGTAGGATTGGGGGTCTATAATTTTAGTATATTTACATGAATGGAAACAACATGATAACATTTTCTTAACAGTGCTTTAAAACAGTCATACCTGTCTTAATCCACGCTGACGTTTGAAAAAGGAGGCAGCGAAAGGAGAATCAAGCGTTTTGTAACGCTATTGGTGTCAAGGCTCAGACCAAGAGGACCCAATTTTGGAGGCAGACAGACCGATTTTTTAATCTAGAAAATTTTTTCTGCAGTGAATAGCAAGGGTGTCTAAGGCAGGTACCTCTGAGGGAGAGAGGATGATAATGAAGGTGTGAGTCACTAACCTGGTCTTAAAGTTCAATCTGTGCCTAGAGGAGGAAGTAGGTTCTTGCTGGTCGGCTGCCCACAAGACGTGGCGGGTTCCGCCCAGAGAGTCCCTGATCCTGAAGTCCAGGTGGTCGAAGAACAGGCAGGGGATCACAGCAGCTGATCACACCTGCTCCCAATCTGCTAATTAGCCTGGCCTGTTCAGTCACTCTTTGCTGGTTTGTCATTATTTCTTTGCCCCATTCTCGTGAGTAT